ACTAATAGGTACTCGTAAGGTGTCAAGTGGGACAATTAATAAGTAATAATATAAACAATAGCCACAACCATCATGTTAAGTTATTGAAGCTTCGCGTGAAAATTGGAACCACTTCATTTGATTTGAAAATTCATAACTAATTCTAAAAAAATCAAAATGAGGTGGTTCCAATTTTCACATGAAACTTGCTAACAGTTTTTTAGAGGAAAAATACTCATTAGATTCAATTCTAGCCAAAGTAGCACTAGAAAATTCGACAAAGTGCACTATTCATATGGTCAAATTTTGAATTTCTAGTATTTTAGCCTAACTTTAGAAGGGCATAACTTTTAGCACAAAACTCCAATTTTAGTGATCTACCACTTGTTTTAAAGCTAAAAATGAGCTCAATAAGATTGCAAGGTCCAAATCAAAATTCATCCATTTGCTCATTATTTTATGTGGCACAAATTTAACTTTATTTAGGGTCTTTCTATCCCCCCTTTACCATTTCCTTGAATTTATTTCTCTTTTTCCTCTTTCCACATCCTTTTGAAATTGCACCATTCAATATCTCAGCACTTGAACATGTCATACAAATATAATTTACAACATATTATCATCCATAATTCATCCCAAATGTAACACAAATTCATTAGGCATTACATACTCTTTCAAAACAACATAATATTCACAATATCCTTTCATCCTAGTACCAATTCCTTGTCTTGATTCGTGGATGAGCCATTCCCTATTTGAGACATAATTTAACATAGGAGGAATAAAATTTCATAGAAATCTCAGTAGCATTTGAATTACAATTATCATGCAAATCAAGCAAGTTACAATATGACATGTTATAAACTTCAAGATGTCCTCAAGCCACATGAAATCATATCCAACAATATGCCAGCAGAGGAACATTAACACTTCCACACTAACACAATTCAATGCATTTGGCCAAAGCATAAGCCAAGGGTACCCAACCAACCAAGATCATCACACAAGTTCCTCAATTCAAGCAAACAACAAATCACATTAAACAAGCAAGATAAACAATCAAATTATAATTCAAAGCTACCTTTTATTACTTGTCTGATTCGGTCACCTCAAGGGGCAATGATCCTTCTTGACTCCTCCTCACCAAGCCTATTAAATCAAGCATAAATATAGGCCACATTAACCATTAAACAACACAAAGCAAAGCTTTAACTTTAATCAAACATTTTCCTCCTTTTTCATTAATTTTTAACAAAATGATTTCTCCTTTAGAATCAATAATCTCATGACTCATTCCTACATAATTTTTCATGAGGACTCCAAATATGAAATCAGATTTTTAAAAATCAAACTTCTTCCCCTTCAAGTTGAGTTTGCCGAATATGGGGTATATACTTCCAAAAATTTCATTTTTGATTCCAATGATTTTAAACACTTTCCAATAGTATATCCTTACACAAAAACACATTTTAAACCTATTGGAATCATCAAATCAATGCAAAATAAACTCCTTTAGTAAGAACACCCCTTGGCTGAAATACACATATAGGACCCTAGGTGGATTTTCTTCCAAATATCAATCCATACACCACTTAATCATGCTTATTCCACTTGGTATTTAAGGTTTCTATCCTTTCCTAAACATTACATGATCTAGCAAAAATTTGGCAGAACGACAGCATGAAATCTTCAAGCCAAAACCCTTACTAAACAAGCTTAAAACTTAGGGATAGGGATGCTTGAACATACCTTGATGTTTCCCTAGTAAAAGCTAGATGATTCCTTGCTCAAAATCCTCTAAGTTTTGGTCTCTCTTGGTTTGGAATTGCAGTGACAGCACCTCCCCTCTTTTTCCATTTTTTTTTTTGGTATTTTAGGGAGGGTTATTTATAGACCAACCAAGCTGCCTTTTCCTCTAATTTTTGGACGTCTAAATGGCTGAAAATGAGGTGAGTTGGCAGCCATCAAGTGCATCATAACACCAGATTTAACCAAGTGTCCAAACTCTAGATTTTTCCAAGCATTATCTCTGAATTTTGCATTTTATTTAATTAAAATTAGTGCTGTCCAGTAGCTGCATGAAATTGGACTTGAATTAGGCCTAATTTGGGCCTCTCAAATGGTCTAGGCTGGCCCAAAAAGATGGCCCACAAACCAAATTAAAATCCCACTACTATTCATGAGTAAAATTTCATAATTTTTCCAGACCTTCAAAAATTTATTTCTCTCCATGATAATTTACCTCTTAATATGAGAACATGATCTAGAAATTTTCAGAATTTTTTTGTCACCTCTAGGTATTTATTTTGAATTGTCTTCGATTAGGCCTCTATCAGTGTCACTGCGGGAAAATAAATTCCCTGAAATTAATTACTGAACTTCCAAGACCTAATTTTATAAATTCAAACAAATATTTAGATGATTTGTCCATAATTTTTTCAAAATTATTGAGGCCTCTAAATAATTAAAATAATTATTTTCCTATGATTTTTTTTCATATTTTCCCGAAAACCTCCGTTTACAGGAAATTCTGTAATAATTTATTTTCATAATAATTCCACCTTTCGGGCCTCAATCGAGGTTCCAAAACCTCTAACGTATACTTTTACCATTTTTTTGGGAATTTCTAAAATTTTTCTAAAATTTTTCCATTTTGCCCTTCCTAAACCGATAATTATGAAAATACCAGCCTGGACCTTATCGGGGTTTCACATCAAAAGTTGTTTCGCTTCCCCGTCTAGTTTCTACATTGGCCCTCATCCCAAATTTTAATCCTCTATGTCCAAGTGAAAATTCTCGGGATGTGACACATAACATGACATTAGGGCTGTTCACACAAGCCCATCCCGATAAACAAGGACGGGATGAAATTTCCATCTTCTATCCCGTCTCACTTCAAGGCTGTCTCGATATTGTTAGAACTGGGACAGGACGGGATGTCCCGCTCCAAATTTCTCTGACAAACAATTGTAATTTTAAATTCTAAAATTATTTTATCTTTTGTCTTCATATAAAGATGTCATTTGTCTCAAAAAATTATCAACTTGAGATTTGTGGTTTGTGTTGCTTGTTATGTCTTCCTAGTTAGCGAATCTTGTATGTTGTCCATGCAATAACGTAAAGAATCCAAGACTTGTCTACAAATCATGAAAATGATACATACATTTTGATTTATTTTTTAAAAAAATTATAACAAACATAAAATTATATTTTAACGTAACTAATTAATCATGAAATTTTATGTGGACTTAACAAATTTACTTGTTATAATATACTACCTTAGAGCCTTATATTACAAAGTGAATCTTATAATAAAGAGCAAGGAGTGAAAGTAGTATATAATTGAAGCCAATGATGCATCTAAAGATTATCTAATTTATCAACAAAATAATTTGACAGTTTGCACTAACTGAATCCAAATAATTAAATTAAGGAGCATCAAGAGAAAGTATATTTTTCATTATTTAGACTAGAAGCACCCTCCAACTATAGCGACTGATATCTTTTATAGTATAGAGGGTTAAAGATAAACCTCTTTCAATTAAATCTACTCTATACATACAAAGATTATGAATCAAACCGACCAATCATTCATTTATTCAAGAGATGAAAATTCGTGTCGCTGACGTCAATCTAAGATAGTAGGAAATGTTTATTTTGAGAGCGCATAAACACACACACACACACACATTCAAGGTACCAAATTTCCGCCATAACATTCCGAATTCATAATTATTTAAGCCAGCATATATACTACCACTACCAAAAAAAAAATGACTTTTAGCGGCGATTTTTATAAAAGCCACCTCTGAAAGTTTTTGGCAATGACTTGTCGCCACTGAAAAGTCATTGTTGTAGCAACAATGACTGAAAACGTTCAGCGGCGACAAAAAAAGTCGCCATTGAAAGACACTTTTAGCGGAAACTTTTATAAGTTTCAACAACAACATTTGTCGCCACTAAAAGTTACTTTGGTAGTGACTGGTGACAAGATGTCACCGCCAAAAGTGACTTTTAGCGGTGACTTTTTTGTCACCATGAAAAGTGATGCTGAAGAAAAACTAGCTTTATTGATGCCACATTATCATTGTCGGTTGTCATGTCATCGTCGCCACCTCCACATCATTGCCACATCACCACTCTCATGCCACGTCACTCCTCTCCACCACCTCACCGCCCAAATATTTTCACCTTAAATGTGTCTTCTTCAAGGGCTCGAACTTGTGGCCACTTTCTTTTGTGTCCAATCTTCTTGCTGTTGAGCTAGATTGAATTTGCTTATTACTATTCTGAAATAAAATATGTATTATCATATTATATTGTCAGCAGTGACATTAGAAAGTCACCATTGAAAGTCAGAGCTTCAACAGTGACTCTCTAAAGTCGCCGGTAAAAGTCTAAGGCTGAATGGAGAACCGAAAGACTTTCAGCGGTAACACTAGAATGTCACCACTGAAAACGGCGACCCTAGAAAATCGCCACTAAAAGTGAGCCTTTAGTAGTAATGGTAGAGTTTTCTATTTAATCTCGAACCATTAAAAGCTAGGTTTCATCTTGGGAAAGACAATTTTTTTTTTTTACAACTCCCAAACACAAGGTCTAATCCTGTTCAAGGAATGAGATTTTTTGAAAAGTTTTAAACTTTTTAAAAAATTCACTTTCAAAGTAACCTGTCTAGTGGTTCAAGTGCCCAATTTAACCCTTTTACAAAAATGTTAAAAAAAAACCGTGTAAGACCCATGGTTTGTATTCAACCATCGACCACATTCTTTTTTCATCCAGCCATTTGAATCCTATATTAAGTCAACTATAACCAATAGGGTTTAACATTCAATACCCTGGTTATTGGCTCATACAATGGGGTACATATACAGATACACATACGTTTAGGCAAAATAATAAGTATATATCAAATTATTGACCATTTCCTTCAACAGCAGTTATTATAGTTTTTTTGCCCTTAGCGAACTCCTTATGGAAAAATATTTACATATCAAAATAAATATACATTATATCTTCACCCCAAAATAAGATGCATTTTAAGCAAAATATATATAAAAGATCTTCAGCTTCCTGTACCTTTAAGCTCTACCAATCACTACTCTCTTGCCCTTAGAAGTACTTGCTCTTGCTGTATTACATGAAAGAAGGAGTAAGATTCTAGAGAATCCCAGTAGTGACAAACTTCCTTTATGTAATCATTCAAGATCACAAACAACATGCTACATAGGGTAAAGAGAACAACACCTTGCATCTAAATATAATCAATGATGCACATACACCAGACACCCATATAGCTAGTCGCTATCTATCATGCCCATATTCCAAAATAAATGGAAACCAGCACATATTGTCATGACAAATATTATCATGCAAAGGCAACTCACATATTGTCATGCACAATCAGCATAAAGGCACATCCAAGCATGTGACAATCAATGCACAATCATATTAAAGAAAAAGAGTTACTACCTTTTGTTTCCTTCTTGGCTCGTTTCTTAATGGACTTGACCAAGTATCAAATCCTATAAATTATATAGGTAAGGGCAGATTAATATTTATATATATATAGATCATTTATTCCTAGTCTTCAAAAAATAAATCAACAACCTTGAATATTCAACTTCCTTAAAATTTGTAGTAGCAACAGCATTTCTTTCATACTTTTATAAAATTCCAGCTTCATCCACATCATCCTATCCCCAGTTTTAATGTCCCTTAGTTTAAAATTACATTTCCTCTTGAAACTTCCTTGACTGAAAATACTTCCCCATTTATACATAATTAAGTCATTGCCAGGTGATTTAGTTTCAGCTACCATATCCCAACATTAACATCATAGCCACTATCACATCCCTCTATTTCACAATATATGCATATCTTTTGCCCCTCTAAAATTCTTATTTTACTGTAGTAAAATTTAATCACTGTTCACAGTAAGGCTGATCCACTAACTAGAATAATATTCAGCATTTGAGAACACAAAACAATAAACTCCAAATCAAATTTTGGTTCCTAAATTCAACAATTCCTCCTCTTATTAAAATTCCAGATTTAAAGGAAAATCACTTTCCAATCTATGTAGCATTCAAAAATTCAAACTCATTTTGCCCCTTTCCTATCCAGAGGTTAAAACCATTTAACCAAAACAAAACAATAACAACTCCCTTTTCCATTAAACCTCACGGCCTTCGCTCCAAAATATCATGTAGCATCATTTAATCTTCATAATCATACTATTTACTTTTCATTCGCCTTTCAAATATGGAACCCATGCTGTCAGCATAAAACAATAGAGGTCTTGGGTTCAAAAACGTCTTTGAAAATGTCATTAAAATAGAACCAGCCCAAATGCAATTTCATGTATATGTGGGTCATAAAATCTCTATTCAATTCCATCAACATTCAACATTATACCCAAAGAAAAGAAGAGTCTAAAGCTAACTCCCTGAATCACCTATCCCCTGTTTTGAAAATCAGGAGCTAAAGAAAAATCAACATAAACAGTAGCCTATAAATACAGGAACACTCTCACACAACTCCCAATTTATGCTTCGATCAAAGCTTTCATGCAATTCTTAGATTTCTCTCCCTGGAGCTGGATTTTCATTTGCTTCTTTCACTCCCATATAATCCTACTCAAAGAAAACAAGGATAGAGGGAGGCTTGAAGGACTCACCTTAGTCAGAAAGCACGCTTACATGCAAGAAAAACACCTCTGATTCTTTCTTTGGTAGTTTGTGATGGCTCGTCTTTCTCTCCCCCTTTCAAGATTTCTCAGCTTAAAGAATGAACTGTTAGTCGCTTTAGGTCCACTTCAAAAATTAACCGAATTAGTGCAGTACAATGCACGATCCGGGTCATATTCACTTTAGGGAGCCTCTAAAAAAAAGTCCTAAGTAACTAAGTATGTAAAAGATAAAGAATTGACTTGAAAAGGGATTGATTTTCTTTTTAACTAACTAAATGGAAAAATTTAAAAGGATGCAAAATGAGTAAGGAATTTTTGGATTTTTAGTTTATAAAATGAATTGAATGAAATAAACAAAGAGAATTAACAAGTGATAACAAATGGAATCGCAATCCTCTAGCACAATAATTTAGGCTATCGTTACTTCAATTAATTTGAGAGTTAGCTAAATTCAAAAGACTCCAAGGCCACCCCTTGGAGTCAGTTTAATTGGAATAATCAACACTAAGCCACCTTGTATATTAATTACTCACAATTAAATTATTTTTGCACAATTAGCTAAAGAGAATCAAAGAAATGCATTCAGACTCATAATCCAATAACCAAGCTACTTTGAATTTCCCCAAAATATTCTCAATAATCTCAATACATTGACTGCCACCACAAAATGTAATTGGAATTAAAGATACTAACAGCCTAAAGTTAAAATGCAATTTGAAGACTCATAAACAATATCCAATTTTCAACATATAAAGATAAAACCATTACAGCACATCCAAACATTAATAATCTCTTCCTAAGATCCAAGAATCATTAATACAATGTGAGGAATGAAAAATTAAAAAGCTGAATCTTGCCTTCAAAGCTTCAAGTTCAAGCCATCACCACTGCTCTAGAGGATCATGAAATTCAATCACGGTTTGCCACGAGGAATGCCACAATCAACATTTCACTTTCAATCACCTTATCGATCAAGAGGTAATCGATAATGACTCAAATAATTGGTAAAATCTCTTGAACTCACTCACTGGAATGCTTTTTGGTTTATCGATCATGTATTCGATTATCAATTTATCGATAATATGATCGATCATCAACACGTCCCTCTACATTATTTCTTCAAGTCTTTTTGAACTGTTTTCATATCACTTGTTCGATCAAACCTTTATTGATCAAGTGTTAGATTATTATTGTGCTTAAAAGTTGTTTTCCACGATAACTTGAAATTATCAATGAGCTGTTTGATCAAGCAGTTACCGATCATCTATTCGATCAATGCATCACTTCATCACGCAAATTGTTCTTCATGATAATCTTTCATAAAGCATATTTTCATTTTATATTCAAGCTTTTTTCAGCCTTCTTTAATCATATTATTCTCTTTTGAAAAGATATGAAGGCATATAAGTTTGGAAAAAAAAAACCTTGCATAGAACTCAGAAGTACTTCCCTTGTTACAATCACTTTGTTTGTATTTCACCATTTATTGGTCATTTGTTTTATTATTGTATGATCCATAATAAACTCAATAAATGCATACATCTGTTAAATGTACTTCTTTATAGTTAATCAATAATATGATCGATCAAGAGATTATCGATCAAGACATCAATCAAGTAAGTTCATTTTACTTTCTGAATATCTGATGATTGATTCTATGTTTTTCAACTGTTGTATCAATATCAAGAATAATTATTTCTTCACTTGTTCATTTATATTTACTTGAAGAAGAAAAACTTACTTGTGCAAAAGGACTTTTGCAGATTATGAAGCATAACAGCTATATTAGAGCTTAACCTATTATGTCAGAAGCATTTCTTAAAAGCAACCATTGTAATTGCTGAACACACGCAAGCGATCGTCTAACAGCTAAAAGCTCTTATGTCTAACAGATAACTAAAATTCTCCAACTATAAAAGGTGTGAAGAGCATTGAATCAAGTATTGAATACATCAAGCTACCGTCTGTAAAAATTAACTTTCGCATTCAATACTCTATTTTTCATTTCTGAGCATCAGTATTCATCATATATATATGCTGTGAGAGACTTTGTAACTCTTTTTACTCAATTTTGTGAGAAACTCAAGAATGTGGACTCTTGAGGGGATTGTAACCTTACGGGTAGTAAGGGGGAGTGATTAAGAGTGACTCAATTACTGTACTGAGGCACCAAGAGCCTATTCAATCTTCGGGATTTGGTAGAAATCTCAGAGATGCTTTGAGGACTGGATGGAGGTCAAGTGGTTAAGACCGAACTAGTATAAACTCCAGTGTCATTCTTCTTCAGCGAAATCTTTCCAAACTTATCTCTACAGTTTTATCTGTTCTCCCCCCTCTTGGATGAAACTGCCACCAACAGTGATCAGGGGGACTTGAAGGGTTGTAATGTTGGAAAGCAAGGCCAACTGGATGAAATAAACTAACAAGTGAAATGCATGAGTAGTAAAATATCAACTCGAAATGAGCTAAAGTACAATCATGAAAGGACACCAATATGTAGATTTTTAAACTTTGAAATAGAAATCCTTGCTCTTCAAAGCACCATAGGATGCCTTATTTGAAATTTTATTCTTTTGTTGTAACTTATTTTCTTTTTCCACGACTTTCTTCCTTTAGCTTTTTCTATACATTTTCTTCTCTTTATTGCCTTTTTCTATTTCTTTTTTTTTTTGTATTGGTATCCAAACCCAAGAAGGCGAAGATATAAATATTAATGATTTACTTTTCAAAATGAAAAACCAAACCTAACTCATGCAAAACACTTGCTAAAAAGCAATGAGTGAAATAAAAGTGAAGGCTCAAAGGGCTGAACAAGAGTTAAATGAAGTAGCTTGTGTTTAGGTAAAGGGTTTAGAAATGAATGCCTCTATCACCCCCACAAATCTAGGTATCAATACAGCTTTGAAAAAGAATCTAGACAAGTTCTGGAGGTTAACCAAAATTATATGAAAATTACACAAGATGAGAAAGAATGTACAGCTCAAAAATCCTTCCATCAAGGTTTTCTCCAAGATGTTTCCTCCTTAAGAATCAAGCTATGAACCAAGGTTAATAACACTGCGTCAAAGGCATTCTATATGCTAACCAACTAAGAATAGGAATCACTCAAATCAAATGCAATCAAACTCAGCCATGCAACATTCACAAGTATTGTGCAAAAGGATTTTAAAAGAGATGCCCAAGGATTACAAAAGTCAAGTCAGCAATAGAGAAAATAGCCAATAGCCCATATAGCAATGTAGAACACTGAGGCGATTGAAAAGAGGAGGACACAGAAACTAGCCGCAAAATTTCCAAGCAAGAATCACTCTTAAATCATGCGATGTAATTTAGAAATCAATCAATAAGGCAAAGAAGAGAGCAATTATAGTAGCAATACTTAGAAAACAAGAGCAAATCCAAAGGTTTTTTTTTTTTTTAAATTCAGCTCAACTCAACAACAATCCCTCCCCACACTTAGTCAATACATTGTTCTTAATGTAAGAAAAACAACATTATCTTAGCCTAAACTCTCAGGTGAAATAGAAGTTGTGAAGTCTGATTTGAAATCGAAGCACAACACATCACTATTACAAAGAGGAGAGAAGGGAGAGATAGGATAAGATAATGTGAAATGAAAATGGACAAGTATAAATCAAGTGATCAAAACAGATGGCAAGAGTAGACAAAACAAACAACTGCTAAATAGAAATGAACAGTTACAACGACAACTATTGGAGAAGTTCCCTCCCCCACACTTACTCTTAACTATCTCAGAAAACAGATATCACCAATAATACAACAAAAACTAAAGGAGTAGGGTGGAAGGGAAAACTATGTGATTAGGAGGGTCTTTGATTCTCATGGTAGTGCTTCAGTAGATGGCCATTGACTTGTGAAGTTATACCGGTCTTCTCATCTATGAGCTCTACTATGCCAAAGGGGTATACTTTAGTAACTCTAAATGAACCTTCCCACTTGGTGACAAACTTCCCTCTCATCAACTTCAACTGGGCTTTAAACTTTAGAACCTTGTCACCTTCATGAAACTGCTTCCTCAGAATCTATTTGTCATGAATCATTTTCAGCTTTTTGTTGTAGATTCTAGCATTGTCATAGGACTCAAGTCTCATTTCTTCAAGCTCTTGGAGTTGCATCTTTAGATTAACAAGTAAAGATTTGAGATCTACATCACATGCCTTGATTGCCCAATAAGATTTGTGCTCGATCTCTATAGGTAGATGGCAAGTCTCGCCTTAGAGCAAACAGAAGGGAGACATGCCTATAAGGGTCTTGTAGGTAGTTTTGTAAGCTTAGAGAGATTCTTTAAGCCTTTCACTCCAATCCTTACAGGATGGTTTCATTATCTTCTCAAGTATTCGCTTCACTTCCCGGTTAGAGACTTTAACTAACCCATTTGTTTGAGGGTGATAAGGGGTGGCAAGCTTGTGATTGACTCCATGTTTAGCCAATAGAGACTTAATGGTGTTGTTGTAGAAGTGTGTTCCTTAGTCATTGATGATTGCTCTTAGAATACCATACCTACAAAAAATATGCGAATGTAAAAACTCAGCAACCGTAGAAGCATCATCTTTCCTAGTTGGTACTGCCTCTACCCATGGAGATACATAATCCACTGCAAGTAATATGTATGAAAACCTAAAAGACGGAGGGAACAGACCCATAAAGTCTATGCCCCACACATCAAAGATTTCACGAAAATGCATAGGTCTCAGAAGCATCTCATGCTTCCTACCCAAATTCCCAAATCTTTAACACTTATCACAAGACTTGTAGAAAGAATAAGCATCTTTAAATAGAGAAGGCTAGGAAAAGCCATACTCTAAAACCCTCCTAGCAGTCCTATCAACACTAAAATGCCCCATAAAAGATAAAGAATGTACAAAGGTAAGTATAGAATGGATCTCATTGTTCAGAACACAGCATTTGATAATTTCGTCACTACATTCCTTCCACAGGATTGGAACATCCTAGATATAGTCTCCCTCTTTAGCCTATCAATATGAAATTTAGACATAGAAGGAGGCATAAGGTCAGTGACAAGATAATTAACTATATTAGAGTACCAAGGCTCCTAAACAACCAAGACAAAAAGTGGAGAATCAGAAAATGAGTCGATAACAAGATCAGAAGAATCAACTCCCTGTGTGCCTTCAGGTAACCAACTAAGGTGGTCAACTATATGATTCTCTACTCCAGCTCTATCTCTAATCTTGATATCAAACTCCTATAGTAGCAAAGCCCATCTCAGCAGTCCAAGTTTAGACTGAGGCTTCTTAAATAGGTACCAAACCATTATATGATCTATAAAGACAACCACTCGAGGGTTTATTAGATACTGTCTAAACTTATCCAAAGCAAAAACAATAGCAAATAGTTCCTTCTCTGTAGTAGTGTGATTGACTTGAGTAGAATCAAGCGTCTTAGAGGCATATGCTATGACTCTAGACCGTTTCTCCTCCCTCTGTTCAAGCATAGCACCTATTGCAATGTTAGAAGCATCACAAGATAATTCAAAATGTAAATTCCAGTTAGGTGTAGTAAGAATAGGAGGTGAAACAAGCATAGATTTCAAAGTGTCAAAAGCATGTCTACACTTGTCATCAAATTTAAATTCAATATTCTTTTTTAACAAGGTAAAAAGAGGCAAGGCAACTTTACTAAAGTCCTTAATAAAGCACCGATAGAAACCTGCATGCCCTAAGAAATACCTCAAGTCTTTTAAACAAGCGGGATAAGGGAGGGATGAAATAACTTGAATTTTGGCTCTATCAACCTTGATCCCCTTTTAGGAGATGAGGTGACCTAAAACTATCCCTCTATCAAACCATGAAATGACACTTTTCAAAGTTCAAAACCAATTTCTTATCTATGCACCTCTTAAGAACCTGCTCTAGGCTATTCAAGCACTTATCAAAACTCTCACCGTAAATAGTAAAGTGATCCATAAAAACTTCCTTGTTCTGCTTTAGAAGATCGTTAAATATCGCTGTCATGCACCTTTGAAAGGTACCTAGAGCCTTACACAACCCAAATGGCATCCTTCGATAAGCAAAGGTACCAAAAGGGCATGTAAAAATAGTCTTGTCCTAATCTTCAGGAGCAATAGGTACTTGAAAATAGCTAAAAAAAACCGTCCAGAAAACAATAGTGAGACTTTCCTAAAATTCTCTCTAACATCTAATCTATAAAAGGTAATGGAAAGTGGTCCTTTCTTGTGTCATCATTTAACTTCCTATAATCTATACACACTCTCCAACCCTTTTGAACCCTAGCTGGAATCAGCTCGTCATTCTCATTTCTTACTACTGTGATACTGCTCTTCTTGGGTACTACTTGTACTGGACTTACCCACTCACTATCTGATATGGGATGGATTATCCCAGCACTCAACAACTTAGAAACTTCATTCTTAACCACATCCAAAATAAGAGAATTCAATCTCCCATGTGGTTGTCTAACTGCCTTGGACCCTTTCATTCAAATCAGGAGGTTGCACAACAGAAGGAACTAATTCTTTTACGTCAAGTACATTTAAAGCAAGTAGTATGTTCATGGTCTTGGGGAAGGAGATATAAGCTCAGCATGATGTATATGTCCTCCACTTCCCAACTCATTACCATTCTTAGATTACCTATAAAAAGGAGCAGTATCAATCTTATCAACATAAACATTAAGTAAATCACAAGGAAGAGTGTGATTAGAAGTAGTGTTGAGCATAGTCGCTGTTTGATCATTCAACCCATTCTAGAAAGCTTCCATTAGAACATATTTCTTCTGCTCATGATTTAGACAATTCCTCTACATGTCCTTGAATCTCTCCCAAGCTTCATAGAACAACTCATCTAGTTATTGCTCAAAAGAAAGTAGTTCACCTCTCAATGGAGCTTGCTTACCTTTTGGAATAAATCTTGCCTTGAATGTTGCCATGAGTTCATCCCAAGTTTTAATAGTGTTCTGGCAAGGAATTTGACCATGTTTTGGCCTTATGAGATAGAAACATAGGGAATAATCTTAACCTCAAGCATCTTTAGAGACTCCATTTTGCTTGAAGTTCTTACACACCTCCACAAGCTTGGTTAAATGTTCATTAGGATCATCATTAAATTTTCCTTCAAAAGTACCAATCATCCGTTATCCTTCAAAAGTACCAATCATCCCCAAGAGTTGAATCATGACAAGTTTGAGTTCAAAGTTTCTAGCTTGAATGTCTAGTGGCCGTATACTTGAGTGAAAAGTTTGTCCTTCCTTAGCCAAGTAATCTTCCAAAGTGTACAAGTCATTCTCGTCTTGTTCTGCTATGTTTTCCTAGTATTTAGTTTCAAGTGACGGTGGTAGAATTAGCCGAGGTTGCTGTCGAATCTTCAGTGTGATGTCAATTTCTTATTCAGAACTGGATTCTTCCTTTGTATCCTGTTCTAGAATAACTTCCAAGTTTCCTTACATGCATCAAGAGGCACCTCCAAAATCATATCAAAAGCAAAAGTATCAAACTTATCAAATGAAACTAAATAACTAAATATTACTACTCTACCTATAACTATCACTGCAAATACTAAAAGAAAAACTTAAGCGTAACCAATCACACAACAAGGACAATCAAATACAAACAATCTTTCCATTAGTCCCAGCCAATAACATTAAGAAATTGTTCATCGATTAGCTTAACCGCAAGCAAACGGGTTGCAAGTACTATAAAAAGTATCCTTCCCTCAAAGACTAAGGCTAGAAAAATTATAAATCATAATTGTGCTCTTGATTAAGTGAAATAATTGTTATAAATGAAGTTGTATAATGTACTTTGAAAACAAAGATTAAACTTGAAATATAATAAACTTGACTTTGAGGCAAATAAGGATCTAGGGTTATTTCTCATTATTGTACTTCATAAAACTTGATTAGTAACTTCTGATTTAGTGTTTAACAATAAGTTAGCCCAAGGTTCACAAATATTGATTAAGCTTTCTCAAGTCAAACCCAAGTTTTGCAATATTAGTAAAACTTCACAATCCCTTCTTTTGTTTAAAAAGATTACACTTTGAAAACCAAAGCCCTTTTTGGACAATACTAGGTCAATAGCTATATCTCTATTCTATCAAAAAATCATCCATTTAATAGGACAAATTTTCGGTCTAGCACATTTTTACCCCCAAGTTTAAAGATCGATTTAACTTTCTCAAACTTCAACCCATCAACAAATCATTCCAAATGGTGGCCAATCACAAGGAAGCATTATGCCCAAGATAAAAACAATATAACATTATCATTAACACTAAAGAGAGTTAAAAACAAGTCTTAATTGATACAATGGATCAAAATAACCCTGGAATGACTACTATGGTTTAGCAAAGAGCTACAAATACACATATTTCGCAGCCATTATAGAAACAAAGGAGAAGAGGGGAAGAAAAACAAGGAAAATAAAGGAAGAAGCTTCTAATCTCTTGCAACTTCAAGTCCAATGTTCCTGAGCTTCAAAACCACCAAACCCTAGTAGAGAACACCTCTAAATAAGCCCCAAAATTGAAGAATGTCCAAAAATCATGAGTTCCCCCCACTTATATGCCTTAATTTTTAAGTTACAATGTAAAATGCATAGCTATGAGGGGACAGATACCTTGATGGGTTTGCTTATCTATTGCAGTGGATTACACAGAGTGGGACGTTCTTATAAAGGGTTGGGTGCCGTGGTGGATATAGACATGTGCTGTGGCGCCTATTACAGAATGGCAAGCTTCTCAGGAAGGACTGAGTGTCGTGGTGGATATAGACAGGTGTTACAGTACCTTATATTGAAAGCCTTTCCTTCCTTTCTGTTGGAGACGCTACAATGGGTTACTTCAAGCGCTCCAGTGAATGATGCTTTTTCAGCCTCTCCCCCTTCAGTCTTCCATCTTTGCTCTCTTTAGGTCCTTGATCTTCCTTTGATCAACGAAAATTGGTTGAATCTTTCTCTTTCTCATTCATCTTCTGGCTCTTGCTATTTCCTGCATAAAGAATCTTAGAAGCATTGCACAAATAATCCCAATTATTAGCAGAAATCAAAGTTTATGTTTTCAAGTCATATTTTCTAGCTTTAAGGGAATAATCTTGCACAGTTAGCTTCCAAAACCAAGAAAAGAGTGTTAAAACAAGTTGAATTGGAAGGAATTTCAAGAGGTTATCATCAACCTACTTGATTTGTGGATTAAATATGGGAAAATGACATTGAGGTCCCATGGAGAACAAAATACATTAAATAGGTCCCCTGAAATCTGATAATTTTTTTAAAGTCCCAAAAGGACTTGGATGTAATTTTTAGAATCTTCAAATGACTTATTGCCCTTAGTCATGATTTCCCATTCGAAAATGCTGAGATTAAAAATTTGAAACCCTTTTTCTTATTCGACTGAAGAAACCGTCTAGCGCCTTCGTCCTGTCCAAAATCCTTCGTGTTGAGAATCCGGCCACAACCCACCGTGTTGGTTCAAATCTACCCACAACCCACCAAAAATCGTGACCAAAGTCCTTGAAAACATGTCGTGGTGGCTCTGTTTTGGTGGAGCGAAGTGAAGTGAAGTGGAGCGAAGTCCTGGTGTTTGAAACGAAGCGGAGCGAAGTGCTAGTGTCTCCGTTCATCAGTGTTTGAAGCAAAGCAGGGCTCGTCCTGGTGTTTGAAGCAAAGCGGGGCTCGTCCTGGTGTCTCCGTTCATCGGCGTTTGAAGCGAAGTGGAGGTCGTCGTTGTGGCTCTGTTCATCTTCATTTGAAGCGAAGTTGAGCTCGTCCTAGGGGCTCCGTTGATCGGCATCTGAAGTAAAGTGGAGGTCATCCTTGTGGCTATGCTCATTTGTATTTCAAGTGAAGTGGAGTCGTCCTGGTGGCTCCGTTGATCGGCGTTTCAAGCAGAGCTCCTATTCTCACAATTTGTTTTTGCAGACAGAGGCATTATCGAGACTGAAGAAGGTAAACGCATATGAATTAGGAAAGTAGAGCTTGTTTGTTGTTGCATTTGATCATTGCTCAATATTTGTATCAAATATCGCGGGATGCTTTTGATTATGCTTGGCCAATGTTTTTTTCCCCTTGACAATAAGATGGTATACGTATTGGAGCATGTTTAGAAGAATGATACATGATGAGGCATTAGCCTTTTAAGAATGATACATGATGAGATGAGCTATGAAATGCGTAAATGGTAAATAACTAGAATATGATAATATGGAAGAATCAGATTTGAGGTTGAATGATTGATGTGCCTTGTTTGGAGTTTGAAGTATTTGTCAAGATTGTTTGGTCTGTAATTGTTACTACTTTCCTTTTTAGGATTTCTATTATCATATTGATGATTGTGTCTGAATCATGCATGATGCATTTCATTTATTGTTGAAAAATTGAATCCTTTTATCACTGATTAAGCCTTTCATTTGTTGACATACCGAGAAACTTGTAAAAACCCCTCTTTTGAATCAATTTTCTTTTTTATATCTATGAAGCTTTGCATTTCTGCAAAAGTTTACTAGGAATTTAAGAAGAATTGAAGTTCAATGCACTGGTCTTGTTTTGCAGGATAAGAAGATGGGGAAGGATGCACAAAGAAGCAGTCATTTCTCTGGTTATGCCTTGTTTACAGAGGAATTCTATAAGAAAAGCTCAAAGAAGTACAAATCACTTGAAGCAGGGAATGCACAAGTGAGAAAGGCGTGGGATAAAGTATCAGAACAACAAAGAGAGGAATATTGTGAAAGGGCTAAGGCACAAAGACCTCCCACCAAGTCCAAGAAGTATATTGTTCCTTTCTATACAAGATGTGCACCAAAACAATTCATGCAAGTTTGCAAGCACATCAAAGAAAGGAAGGAATTGATGAATAGGTTGAAAAAAATAGGGTTTGACAAGTTGGTTGAAGTCTGTTGCCACACAATTCAAAGAGAATTGTGTAGAGAGTTTATGTCTGCATTTGATCTTGTATCAAAAACATTTCGATAAGAGGGAAGAGAAGGGAAATGAGGGCAAAAGATGTGCATGAATTTTTGGGGCTACCAGTTGACGGAGAAGAGATTAAAGTAGTTGTGAATAATGAAAATGAAGTGTTCAAGCAGTAGAGGATTGTGTATGGCAATATTCCATACAAGAAGATAGCATCATTGTTGATTGAGGAGAACCAAGATGAAAATTTTGAGGTGCTGTTTGTCATGTATGCATTGGGAACTTTGTTATGTCCTAATGCAAGTATTTGTGTCGATGATTATTTGTTGAAGGTAATACTCTCAACAAAGGATAGATTGGATAAGTTTAATTGGTCCTCTTATCTGTTACATGAACTATATAAGGGGATTGGAGTGTACAAGAAATAATTGGAAAAAGGCAAGTTGACTGAGAAGAAGAAGAATGTGCCAGGTTGTCTATACTTCCTAATGGTAAGTGCTATAATAATTTGTATATTTCTGTTATCATTTGATGGTTTGAATGTTGTCAATGGCTGCTGTTAACTTATCATTCATGTCACATGCAGTTATATTGTCTACAAAATTTTCCACTGGGAGAAACAAAAGCTGCACATGTAAAGCATGTTGTTGCATATTGGGATGAAAAGAAAGTGCAGCAAAGAGTTAAAGAGGAGAAGGAAAGCAATCGAGGACTCTTGCATCCGGCAAAGCAATCCACCAAATTTGATCCTGAAAATTTAACTCATCCGGTATGTGGACTTGTAGGCTTAATGATTAATTTTTTGTTTTTTTTTGTTTTTGTTTTTCTACTGTTGCTTAGTGTTCTGAATTTTATTTGTATAGGAGATCAAAAAGACATATACTCAATTAGTGTCTATGTTGGGGGAGGAAATGATGGCCCTTCAGTCAAGACTAAGGGAGGGTAGTGGCAATGTAAGTGAAGAGGACAAAGATGAGGAAGAAGAATCTGAAGCTGAAGAGGAAAAAGTTGAGAAAGGAAGTGATTCAGAGGATGAGGAAGAAGATGACAGAAATGAAGAAGAATCTGAATCACAAGATGATAGAAATGAAGAAGAAGATCAAGAAACTCAGTCAGAAAAGGAGATGGGTGGACAAGAATCACATGATGAAGAAAAAGAAGACGATGACGAGGAAAAAGAGAAGAGAAATGAGGACAAAGAAGATAAAGAAGAAAATAAAAGAGAAGAAGAGGATGAAGAGGACAAAAGGGTGGATGAGGCCACCCAAGGGGAAGGGAACAAACATGTGAGGAAATCAACAAGGGTGATAAGTAAGCGAAAAGCTCTTAGGTCTCTATTTCCGGAATTCAAAAGCAAGGCTGGGAAAAAGAGAACAATTGATGACAGGCAAGCTTTATTTGACATGTGTACAGTAAGGTGTAATCAAGAGGAGCAAGAGCAGTAAGTATTATGTTTTGGTGACCAATTTTATATTATGTTATAGAATTTACTGAATTTACTAACTTCGTAATTGTTTCATTTGTGTTAGATACTTTGTATCAATGTATGGATACTTCCTAAGCTGTGGTGAGTTGCAATGTCTCCAACGTAGAAGATGGATAAACGACAAGGTGAGTCACATGTAGATAGTTAATATCAGAATGAGTTATTGCATGCTAAGGAGTTGTAATTTGTTTGTATTTGCAATTTCAGTTTATGACTATGGTGGCAAAGGCATTCGTTGGAGATCAAAAGGAAAAAGATGAGCGAGTCAACCGCCATATATTTTCTGTAGATTTCATGCAGAAAATGACGGCGAATCCTTTAAGGTGGAAATAGGAGGACATGAAAGAGAAATATTACCTGAATATATTGGATACAATATTGGGGATTGCGATTTCATTTTTTGTCCTACTTTATTTGAAGATCATTGGTTTTTTATGTTTTCGAGACAAAGACCATGACCTTCCACGCCCTTGACTCGTTGGTTGATAGCATCACATTCACGAGATTACAAGCCGAGGAAGAAGAAGCAAAGAAGAAGGGGGGTGAGCAACAACATGAAGCAAAGAAGAAGAAAAAGAGGACAAATAAAGGGCAGTTTGACCCCAAAGAGTTCATGGCAACACAAACTGTGAGTAGTTATTTACAACTTTTATACTTGTTAATGACTATTATAATTGTTACTAGCAGTCTGCATAGGTGTCATTGCATGCTCTGGTAGTTGTCACTGGATGCTATACTAGTTGTCACTGGATGATCTGTTACTTGTCACTAGATGCCATGTTAGTTGTCACTGGATGCTCTGTCCCTTGTCACTACATGTTGTGGTAGTTGTCACTGGATGCTGTGCTTTTTGTCACTGGATGATCTGTTACTTGTCACTGGATGATATATTAGTTGTTAGTTGTCACTGGATGATATAGTAGTTGTTAGTTGTCACTGGATGATCTGTTACTTGTCACTGGATGATATATTAGTTGTTAGTTGTCACTAGATGATCTGTTACTTGTCACTGGATGATATATTAGTTGTTAGTTGTCACTAGATGATCTGTTACTTGTCACTAGATGATATATTAGTTGCCACTGGATGCCCTGTTAGTTGTCACCAGATTCTCTGTTAGTTATCACTAGATTCTCTGTTAGTTGTCACTAGATGCTCTGTCCCTTGTCACTATATGCTGTGGTAGTTGTCACTAGATGCTATGCTAGTTGTCACGGGATACTCTATTAGTTGTCACTAGATGCTATGGTAGTTGTCATTGCATGCTTTGGTAGTTGTCACTGGATGCTTTGTTAGTTGTCACTGGATGTTCTGTCCCTTGTCACTATATGCTCTGTTAGTTGTCACTGGATATTCTGTCTCTTGTCAGTGGATGGTGTGTTTTTGGTCATTGGATGCTTTGTCCCTTGTCACTGGATGCTGTGTTACTTGTTACTGGATACTCTGTCTCTTGTCACTGGATGCTCTGTGCCTTGTTACTGGATGCTGTGTTATTAGTGATGCCTTTTCATTACGTGTGTGTGTGTTTTTTTTTTTTTTCCAGATGAACTGTTTCCATTCGATGCTACGTGTTGTTAAGCCAGAATTGTTTGTCAATGAGGACAAAATTGACAACGAAGTGAAATGGGCTAAAGTCTATGTGCAGAATGATACGTAAGTGTAGTTGTTCTGTTCGATTGTGTTATGTTGTTTTTGTTCACAATAACAATTGCAAGGTGCTAATATATTCAATTTACTTGGTAGTGATTCATGTGGAGTTCATGTTATCTCTTGGCTACAAGAGTGGGATGGCACCGTTGGGGATGATGCAGGATATATAATGCCACGATACTCTAATGATGAACTACAAGAGTTGAAGGTTAGCTGTTTGTGGTGGTTGGTTACCCATCCAAATAATGAACATGGGAGGGAAGTGATGTTGATGCTATCGGACTACAACAAGACCAAGAAGAGGAGATAGAGTAGTCTATGAATTTTTTGTTCTCTTAGCCCATGGTATGTGTTGTAAGATGATTAGCAAATAGGTCATTTTGTAACAAACTGATCAGGTTATATTTATAATATTATTATCTTTGTCATCACATATTGTAATACTAATTTGTTAGGGTTTTATTACATTTTTAATTATATTTCTATTTTATATGTGCAGAGATATTATGGTTGGTTACCTTGCGTTTAAATTAACAACCTGAGTTATTCAAAATAACAACTAATATAACAGGAGTTAATGACAAGTGATATGAGAATTTCATAACAAGTCACAGTGCCCCATTGACAAGTCACAGTACCCCATTGACAAATCATAGTGCCCTATTGACAAGTCATAGTGCAACTATTAACAAGTCATGGTACTCCATTGACAAGTCACAATGCTCTCTTGACAGCGACCATTGACAAGGGACAGTGTTCTCACAAACAAGTCACAGTGCCCCATTGACAAGGCATAGTGCAACCATTGACAAGGGACAGTGTTGCCATTAACAAGTCACAGTGCTGTATTGACAAGTCACAGTGCTCTATTGACAAGTCACCGGATAAACCATTGACAAGGGACAGTGTTGTCATTGACAAGACACAATGCTCCATTGACATGTCACAGTGTTGTCATTGACAAGTCACAGAGCCACCACTGACATGGGACAAGGGAGAGGTAAGTTTTTGACACTTCATTAATAATGATTATATATGACCATACAACCAAAATATAATATGACAGAGTAATTGTAAATATCATTTCATGGTAAAAAAGGTTATGTTACTTGAATTCATGTTGTTGACAACTTACATCAGTAAATTCATTGACAAGTCATAGTGCAATGATTGACAAGTCATAACAGGTCTAGTGACAACTCAGGGTGCAGGTAATGACAACTAAAATGACAGTACAATGTAACATGCCAATTCATAGCTAACTTTCATTTACACCTTCATATACATAAAACTACACCTATTTCACAACCATCCCAAAAAAAAACATAGGGGTTGCATGTAATAATGAAACTAACTAGTGGTGTGCATCCATTTACAAAAAATTTCCTTCACACCCATTTACAAAATATTCTCTTCACATCTATATACAAAAAATAGCTAACTTCAATATGTTCTCAGCTGGAATTTGGGTTCTTGCATGTCTTGGTAGTGTGTCCAGGCTCTTTGCATCTTCCACAATGATAAACCTTCTTATTTTGAAATTGAGATTATATCCTATTAATCCTTGGCCTTCCTGGAGGCCTTTTGGTTATTGGTGGATGTAAGAATGTTTGGGTTAGCATATGACTCACAGTAGGTGTATCAGGCTGTGGGCAATCATGCATTGCAATTGGCCTTATGCTATTTGCATATATTTTCTCCTGTGTGGACAATTTGTAACAATCATCTGCATAATCATACACATTACGATGAACTAGTTTGATTGCTGTACAAGCATGTGGACAAGGTATTCCACTCATTTGCCACGCCAAACATGTGTATCTGTGAGAAATCAGATCAACAACAACATAGATGATGTGTCCCTCACGTATTGTCTGCACCGAAATATGGTCATCACCATAATATGTTGCCTCCATATATACACCTCTTGCTATTTGTTCTGACAACTTTGATTCAATATTGGGTCCTACACTATTTTTCCAGCTTCTCATCCCCGTTTTGCTAGCAACCATCTTCTTGGCCAACTTCTCTTGATGCTCTTGTATCAAAACCGGCAAGGCGTGCTTCCTTTCTTTCAACATCCATGCATTAAAAGACTCAGCAAGATTATTGGTGATGTTATCCCATCTCTTAAAAGAAAATTTACTTTGCGCCCATCTATCTACATCCCCATGAGATTCAAACCATTGTGCCAATTGAGGACAAAACAATCTTAAATTTCCCATTGCAACATTAAACTCATTCTTATGCCTTGCATATGCAATTCCATCAAGTAAATTAAGTGCATTCTCCTTGTTATTTTCTGAGGTCCATCTCACACCTCTATTGATTTTTACATACTGCACGTTATAATTTTCTTTCACATGTCGATAGCAAAAAGCATGTCTCTCACCATCAAATACTGTCCTGATAGCGCCGATAATAGCATTACTCCGATCTGAGACAATTGTCACTTGTGTTGATCTGGTTATCTCTTTCAGATTCTATAGATACCAAATCCATTCATCATTTGTTTCTCCACTAACAATACCATATGCTAAAAGAAACAACTCATTGTCTGCATCAAATGCACAAGTTGATAATAAAGTTCCTTTGTAAAGACCACTCAAATGACATCCATCTATATAAATAATTGGTCTACAACCTTCCACAAAGCCTTTAATTGAGCATCCATATGCAATGAATAGCCTCTCAAATCGGTTGCTATCTGAGCCTTCCCATCTTGCAACTGTGTCAGGATCAGTTTCTATTAGTCTCTCACACATCCAAGGGATTACCTTATAAGAATCTTCTACTTGACCATGTAATTCCATTAGTGCTCTTTTCCTAACCCTATATGCTTGAGTATAGTTCAATTGCACTCCATATTCTTTATACAAGTCCTTTCTAATTTCATTAGGACTCTTGTCAACATTGCACCTCAAGTCATCAATCACAATTGATGCAGCTAAATTTGACCTTCCTGAGTGAGAAACAATTAAGTTGTCCTGTGCATGATGAATGTGTTCACTTTTGTACGTTCTGATAGTTAAAAACTCAGTATCTTGATGTGCTCCCATTGAATATGCACCCATATACCATGGACAACCATCGACCTTGCACTTCACAATGATCTTTTGCTAATTATTCTTAATGAAAAGGTACAAAAACTTCTGGCATAAGCTGTACTTGTATAATGTTTTTCGGAGAGTAGTGGCATTTGGAAATATTTGTCCTTCTCCAATAATCAAATCCTTCCATTTTATGGAATTCATTTGTGGTGTAGGTGTTAGGATCATTTCAACAGCACAAGGAATTGATTGTGACTCTCCAATCACATCAAATAAGGTAGGTGGAGACATAGACAATTCATTGACACCTCCAAATAATTGATCAATCCTACAGAAAATGACAAGTCAGGGTGCATGCATTGACAAGTTAGTAGCAATATAGTAACAACTGACATACTCAGAAATCACAATAACAGTTTTGTTAAACTATACTTACACATCTTGCTCCTTCATTGTATTATCCCTTGTTGCTTCTATGTGGTCCTCATTTTCATTTTCTTCGATACACACATGACCACTCTCTTCATTGAACTTTATCAAATGTTCCACCCCATCATCATCTACCAACTCCACAAAAGTTTTTTTATCAAACACAACTGAGAATTTTAGAAGAAATGAGTTGCTTTCTTTTCCAGCAATTGATGATATAATTTCCTTCAATTCTTCATAACTTGTGCCCTCCTTTACATTGGTTGTTCTTACACTACCTCTCACATATCTCATATTATCTTCTCCATCATTTATAAACTTTCCCCCTATGTGAACAAAGCAAAATAGATGTTTTCCAGACGTACTCGCCATCAGTAATTTAAACCTGCATCAAGAAGCACGCAACTGTCATTGACAGCTTAAGGAGCTAGATTGACAAGTGTTGCGGCACACATTGACAACAACACAGCTTGATTGACAACACAATCCTATTTCGTGCTAAGGGTTTCTACCTCACTAACCTTCATCTTTTTCTTCCTTTGCCACTAAACTAACGCCAGAACAGAGGAAAACCACCCAAAAACAACCCAAAAACAGAGCACCCATGATCATTCTACACACCCAACTTAAATCACAACACACACCAACCAAAAACACGGCTTTTCCATTTATTAACTTGTGAATCCTAAACCAAAAACCAAAGCTTTGAAATACCAAAGGCAAAAATGATTTTTTGATTTCCCATTCCCAAACAAATGCACAATTTGTCAAGAAAGATAGGAGAGGAGAGAAAAGAAAGTTTCACACCTGAAAATTTGTCAAGATTCACATGGAAGCACTATGGAATTCACTAATGGTAATGGAGAAGATATTTCATCATCAATGGCTCCTTCTCTCTTTCCCAATGTCTTCTCCCTCAAGCATATAGCGCAGAAAATCCTCACAGAAGTTCATTCTCCCGTCTTTTTTTTCTGATGGCAAGGGCAGGGCAAAACAGTAATTAGTGGATTCTGAAAATTGCGTCTAAGTCCCTTTGGGACTTCAAAAAAATTATCAAATTTCAAGAGACCTATTTGATGTATTTTGTTCTCCATGGGACCTCAATGTCATTTTCCCATTAAATATTGGGTCCATTTAGCTTTTAAAATCAACCTATATATATATCAAATAAAATTTATAATAAGATTACATTATAATTCATAGCAATTAGCGATACTAACTAATCATGGCCCCCACCTCTTCAGATTGACGAGGACTTCCACCTACATTGAAAGGAATGACTACCAATGAGGAACGTATTATAATGAACTGTGTCAGGTCGCGTTCCTTTCTTTCAACAACTTTGAATTTTCATGAGCTAAGCGCAATGAATGCACAGAAAGTGAGTTATTTTCATTAAGTGGCATTAAGTTTTGAATTGAAGGCTGAAGAAAGTTTCACCAAAGAAAAAAAGATATTTTCTACATTTAAAATTGCTGTTCTCAAAATGTTTTTGAGTAAAATATAAAATAAAAAAATTAAATATAAAATGTTCAAATATAAATTTAGATTATTTAAATTTAATCCCAAGAAAAAAGAGAGGAAGAAGAATGGATACACTAACACCAACCTTGAATATTCTGATAATGCTCTCATTTGATAGAAGATATATCGTCCGGGTTAAAGGAAAGAAACCTGTCTGAGAATATTCTCATGGGAATAATATACTAATGAGAATTCAAGAATCTCTTTGTATGAGACTTTTGATTACTTGTTTAGAGAATTAACTCAGATTGCTTTAGATCACCACTGTGTAGATACTTGGCAATACAGCAATAAGTATAGCTGCTTGATTTGCTGATGACAACTGCGTGGTGGAAGTTTACATTAATTTTTATGAAAAATTTAATATTTTTAATTATTTTTATTGATACTTCTCTGGTCCTATTTTATATAATGTCGGACGTAGTTACCGCGCATTCAATCTCATTTTCTAACACAGGAAAAAAAATTTTTTAATAACCTTTTGGGTCACTCCATATCCGGCACTTTTTCTGGATCCTATTATCAGGTATCTGAACAATCAACTAATCCGGACTGAGCTTTGTAGGACTACTTTGAGTGGCAGGCTCTCCCAACAATTTTTAACACAGTAGGGCTCGAACATGAGACCACTGGTTAAGCTGAATGAACCCCTTACCAGTTTAATCAAGCGCTTGTTAGTCGGAAAAAAACCTTATTAACTTAGTCAAATATTTTGTATTTATTATATTAAATTCTCCAAATATTTTGTATTTATTATATCAAGTTCCCAAATCACATTTTACCATGTAGTCTTTTTTGTTTCATATAAATTTATAATTAAATGCTAATATTTCAAAACTAGTACACATGATAATGTATAATTAGAGAAATTGAAATAATTAATATAAAGAATTTGACATAAGTATTGTCCTTTAATAAACACATATATATGAGTAAAAAAATTAAAAAATACATTGACTACTCTCTATATTACTTTAATTATATAATTATGTATCTTCTATTTTTGAAACCTACATGAAGCTACCTAAAATCAATAGTGTCACAAAACACAAACTTTTCTTCTACTTTTAAGATATATTTTCATCCAACTATTATGAACTGATGGTTAAATTTCACATGTTGGAATGAAATACCCACATTTAAACATAGGTGTTGTTTAAAAATCATTTAATGATAAGTTTACTTAATGAAATAATTTTTTACAAATTTAAATACGTGAGTTGACAAAATAATATATCAAACGTAAAAAATAAACTTATAATGAAAGTTTACTTATTTAATGATTTTTTACTTTTCAAAATAAAGGAATGTAATTATTAAAAAAAAATCCCATGACATGTGGATGACAAATTCTCGCATAAGGAATGGCAACAAATTTCATAGTTTCATACCGCGATTTCTATCAATTATATTCGTTTTTGTATTTTTGAGACCTCACAATAACTTTTCTTTTATTTTTTCTTCAAGCAGCCATTATGCAAAAGTAACAGCTTCCAACAAACATCTTTGGTACGGATATCGTTAATAAATGCAGCTGCCAAATCAAAATGTTAAGAGTCAAGTCAAGGAAGTAGGAGATCGCCGCTTCAGCTGAGTCACACAACGTGGTGCGTCCTATATATTTTGGTGTGGGCTGCTGAGCAGAGCAGAGTAGATCAACTTTCTCCTCCTCCTTCACATCTGCTGGCGCTTATCTATCTGCGGTTTGTTGACTAAGTTTAGATGGCAGATACAATGCATGATACTGAGATGAATCACACAGAGTTGGCCTCTGATGAGACCGCTCAACAAATGGTGGAGCTACATCCACTTATCTCGTCTCAATCTGCATCAGATTCATCCTCCCGACTTGCAACAACCACACGTACGCATCATACTTTACTACTCTTTTTCTTCAATTCTCAAGCCTTTTGTTGTTTTCTTTACTTTCTTTTTAAGGTTGCTTCTGTTTAAATGCCTCAATTATTAGACTTTTTTTATAGCCTTATTTTGCTTCACCTTCCAAACATATATACTTATCAGATTGCAAGTACATGCACCTGTGCTTTTCTTTGTTTTATCCTTTTCTGATTTTTAACAAATGGTAATGAGATTACGGTTCAGTTATTGAGAAAAGAAACATTTATATTTCCCAAGATTTATGGCCACCATCATTGCCTTGCTAATTGTGCAATTTCTGCTTTCCTTCAATTTAAATTGATGTATAGACGGAAGATGAGACGATCAGCATAGACATAGAAGCATTGACAGAGCTTGGTGAAAATGGTCTCTCGTGAGGTTTGTGTTGCATCTACAAGGCGCCCCCAATTATCCGTCTTCTAAACAAGGAAGCCTACGCTCCTAAGGTTGTTTCCATAGGTCCTTTCCATCATGGGGATGTGAGACTGAGAGATATGGAGAGGCACAAAGAAATAATGTTTAAGAGATTTGCAAAAGACATAGACTTGGACGGTTTAGTTAACTTTGCAAAACAATTTGAGCCACATGTCCGTGCTTCTTATTTTGAGAGCATCAACTCCAGCAAGGAGGATCTTGTGAAACTGATATTAGTCGATTCTGCCTTCATCATTCACCTCTTTATGATGCGCTATAGACGTCACATGGAAGGCGATGCTAAACTATCACAAACACGGCTAGGGGAGGATATATTTGGTTATTTACTTTTACTAGAGAATCAACTTCCATTCTTTTTCCTTGAAGAGCTATACAATATAGCCTTTCCTTATAATTGTAGAGGTGATCTCCCTTCATTTCTTGAGCTTACATATTCCTATTTTAACCGTCTTAACATGCAAGAGTTAGAGCCTAAACACAAGATAAAGCATTTCACAGATCTTCTCAGATTATTTTACTTACCAACAACCCAACCGAGAAGGAATGAATTGAAAGAAGATGGATCTGATATGCTTAGGTATAGTGCAAATGAGTTACAAGAGGCAGGAGTGAAGGTGGAGGTTAGCAAAAGTAAGTGCTTTTTATGTTAAGTGATTATATAGTTGAATAGGGAAGGTTAGTGTGCAAGGAAGATCTTAATGTTACCATGTGAAAGGCATCATGGTTAATGTTTCCAT